GGGGGGGGGGGGGTCCTTGGTTACTTACCCTAAATAATGGAGGAGCCGAGTTGGCCTGCCGGGGATGGGTAGGGGGGGGGGGCTTTTATGGCCTGACTTACGGCTGGCTTCAGAGCTGTGTCCTTGAAAATCATAGACTTCTCAGTTTTTTTCCTCCTCCTGCTTTTCCACGCTCGCCCCCCCTCCCCCACTTACTCCCCCTCCATATCCCTGCTCACAAACAGTTATTTATCCCTCGATCTACTTCCCATTCAGAATGATCCGGCACAGGGGTCACTTTGAGCCTGGATCCTGGCCCCGGAATATCAGGGCGCGGCGCTGAGGAAGTGCAGGATGGTGCCACTTTATCTCAGGGGACAGGCCCTCTCACAGCGGGACTGGGCCTCCCCCACATGCTTCCCCTTAATCCCGGCGCCTGTTTGTCTGGACCTGTCCCCCCTCGCCGGGAATGTTCGCAGATAACAGCTCACATCGCAAAGGAAAAAAGCCGGTCACTCTGCATTCAGGGATAAATGCGGAGGCTTTGTTCACGGCGATTATTATCCTCCGCCGAAAACCACCCTTTCCAATCTAATAAACAGAATCGGGCCGGCCTTCCCCGGAAAAGCATCCCGCCATTGTCAGTCATTTTGTCTCATAAAGTGAGTGTCAGCTGCGGTCACGATCACTCCAGTGGAGGGACCCCAACAAATCAGTGATGGGCTGAAGGAGGACCTCAGAGGGGCCAGGCCAGTAGACAGAAAAGGTGGGAATGGATTAAAGCCTCCACTGTCCTCTGGGGTACAGTGTGGCCCAGATTTCTTTAAAGAAATATAGAGGGGGTGGGCTGTGTGCGCGTGTGTGTGTGTGTGTGTGTGTGGTGTTGAGGGGGGGGGGGGCTTTCTTTCCTCAAGAATAAATGTAGCAGTGAACACAGCAATAAGCTCACGGCCCCGTCGTGTCAGAATGGGGCATTCAGGGAGAGACAAAGCCGCGTCCTGCTTGACTGGCAGGTGAAGAAAAGGGTGATTTGAGGGGAAATAATCTGATTTTGAAAGGAGCCGCTGTGGTGGGGGGGGGGATGGGAGTGACCCTTCTGTGGGGGGGGGGGCTTTGAATGTTTAAAGTGTCTCAATGAGGTCTGCTGGAAGTTTGGGGGCCCGAGCCCCCGTGACCAGTGCAGGGCGGATTATCCTCCTCCCTTTCAGCCCGCTTTCTTATTTATTTTTGTTTTTTTTCGGGAGGGTTTGGGGTGTCTGGCAGGACAAAACCACACTGTCTGAGAGGTCTGTGGGTGGGTTGGGGGGTAGGGGCAGAGGTTCAGGAGTGCGACAAGACTGGAGTGGCCGCGGAGACTGAAAAGGTGACGAGGTGGACTAAGGAGCGAGATGGGAGGTGGCAGGAGGTGGTGGGAGGCAACGGGAGGTGGCAGGAGGTGGCGGCGTTCTATTCGCCAGAGACACTGGTGCTTCAAGTCCCTGTGCCCATGGGGCGTGGAGGTCCGAGGCGGAATGAAGATTTTGTCAGTTATTGGAAGGGAATCCATTCCTGTAAGCTCAGTGAAGCACCTCTTCACCTCTTCATGCAAGGACAGAGAAGCACGCCCTGTCCCTGAGAAGACAGCCAAGCGCTCTGCTCTAATGATGCTCCCTTTCACTTTAATTATCAGTTTTATTGCAGTTTTATTTGCCTGCATGTTTGTGCTGATTGCTCCATTTCACAGATTAATGTAAAGTGTGTGTGTTTGGGGCGGCGGGGGGGTTCATTCAAGGGCTAAGGAAAGACAGAATAGAGGTGTGCCTCATTCTTGAGGGGGGAGGGCAGGGGGTCAGGTGCAATTGAGCATGAATGACAGGGGGGCGTTGTCGGGGGGGTGCGGTGTATGGTGGCTGAACTCAATAAAAGTCCAACACATGAATTCTTAATTAAAACTGCCAACTACGAATTGTTCTCCACCAACACCCCCCCCCCTTACAGGTCAGCTGTCAGTAGTGCTGGGTCTGAGGGGCGGGTTCTCTGTCCCGGCATGAATGGAGGGAGGCCCTTTCCTTTCCCTGGCAGGGCCCCACCCACTCCAGCGCTCCGCCCGGCCGGCTCTTTCAGCTCCGGAATGCCGTGGGGTCCAGCTGCATGCCTCGGGCCTTCCCCGGTGGTGGGAATGGCACCGCGCCGGATTCATGTGGGGTCCAGCTGGTGCCGAGAGTCGCGTCCGTTTGCTGGAACCATGCCGGGCAGGCGGGTTCGCGGTGGCCCCTCCATGACAGCCCCCACCCCCACCCCCAGTCCGACACTGGAGCACAGACCTGTGGCAGACAGAAGCTTTGTCAGGCAGTTAAAAATGTTTTGAAAGGGGCATGTTTTGGCCTCGGGGGGGCGCTGTTGATGAACTCACGTGGGTTTGCGCCGGATGACAGTTTTGGTGCCTTTATGAGGAATTCCCAATTCACATGCAAATGGCGTGTTTATCATCGGCGGGATCTGCGAGTAATGCGCAGCCCGGCACACGGGCCCCAGCTCGCCACACGGGGCCCAGCGGAAATGAGGCTGTCCTTCCTTGTTCATCCATTTCATTATCTGTGCCATTATTGGCCCAGAATGAACACATCCATTATCTAATTTCCCAAATACAGCCATTTTATTGGATGGAAACCATCCCCTGTTTGTCTGTGGAACCTGGTCTGAGACGTCTCATCCCGTATATTACGAACGTCACCCCAATGCACTTACTCGTGTCCCAGCTCATTCTGGGGTTTTGATACCCATCTATAATGGCAGTCACCAAACTCGGGTAGGAGGCGCGTCTAAGGTGATGTGGTCATACATGTTGTCTGCTGATTGGTTAACATCATGTCAGGTGACATTGGGAGATTTGGAGCCATCAAGTCTTTTGGTTCCATGAGGTTTAGCTTGAGATTAGTCCTAGGTCTTCTCTGACAGTCAACCACTGAGTCCACCCACTGATGCTAGCCATGTGCGCCCCATTAATCATGCTTATTATTATCATTATTATTATTATTATTATTATTATCTTTCGTATCCTTAATCTGAGCTTGGAGTCTTTCCTGGTCATGTTGCTGGGGTGTACCCTGGATGGGATGTCAGTATTATTATTAATTTAATAAGTAACATAATAAGTTAATGTGTGTGTTGTTTATTTGCTCGTTGCATAATGCTGTTCAGTGCTCATCAGCGCTCAGCTCAGGTCTGTGGGATATGAACCCACAACCTTTACAGCTGCATCGCCCCTCTTAGGCAACTCAGTAATAAAGAAGCAGTGGCATGTAAGGATTCGCCCCCTCGGATTGGTCTGTCTGTTACTCTATAGCTGTGAGCGTGCATGTTTATCTGCATTTCGCCGTTTTGGTCACCTGTTGAATGAGGACCTGTTTGTAGCTGTCAAATCCCACAGTGAGGTGTCCAGAAATTGCTTGTGTCTGGGGGAAAAAAATGTGGACCAGTTTTAGAAAGGGCTATTAATAACCGCGAGCTGGGGTAGGAGAAGGAACACTCCGGAATAGAGCGGTACGGCAGCTAAAAACACCTGTCAGTTAAGGGCAGGCACTGAACTCGAGAGGGACTCATTCCAATGAACTGTCCAGTGCAGCATCTCTCAGAATGAGACGGAGCCTTGTTATTGTGGGCAGCCATTGTAAATGAAAGTGCAAATTAAAAATGCAGTTTGCAGACTGTCCCTGTGCATGTGCACTACTAGCAGTGTAAATGTTAGGGGCAGTGTGTACTGCTAGCACTGGCAGTGCTGTTGTTATAACAATTTATTACAGTGTAGTATTACAGTATATTTGCCTATTTTCATAGTTAAAGTATAGCTAGATTCTGGTTCATCTCCCATGGAATATGAATATGATTATGAAATTTGAAATTCAAGGTATTCAATTAAATGTATTTTGGGGATGGGTGGCCCTTGGGAGGGCATGGGGTTGTGAACTGCCAGCCTCTTCCTATTCGTCAGCTTTGACGCCCCACAGCGTACCATGTCACCTTCTCGCTTTCTTTGCCCCGCTACCATTTGCCCCCATGCCACATGTGTCTTTCCTCGGTTGCCACGGAGATAAAGCCCCCCCCCCC